CGGCCGCTGGAGCAGGTCACCTGTTACAAGGTGAGTCCTGGGGCTGGGGGTAGGGGCAGGGTCTTCACAGTCAGGAGACGTTTCCTCATTCCCCAGTTAGTTTTGAAAAATGTAAACATCTATGTTTGTGCCAACTATAAAAGTGACAGTGGGCTACTTGGTGAGCTAGAGACCATCCTGCTTCCTTCCATGACACACTAGGGCCAAGGGAACCATCACACATGCTGTTGAATGCAAAGACAGAGTTTGCGGGAAAGGGAGGGAAATCTTCCAGAGGCCAGTAACAAAGTAGAAGCACAGTTCAGGGGAAGGGCATAAGCCCTGAAGCTTCTGGATGTCCTCGCATCCCGCAAGGGCACATACCCAAGGAAGAGGGACAACTTTACCACTCAAGAAAAAACAGATTAGAATCCCTCTGAACAGACACAGAGTGGGACACTCAGGGGAAGGGTAAACTTTTAAAAGCCCTGCTAGAAAACTTGTGTTTTTCTTGGCTCTAGAGGGAATGGGGGGAGATAAGTGCCTTGAGACTTCATAGTCACCACTGCACCCTTCAGGAGTTTGGGGCTGTATGCACACCCTTGGTGAGGGCTGGAAACCTACAAACATGAGTTTTTTGTTGTTGTTTTTTTTTAATGTTTTTTATTTATTTCTGAGAGAGAGAGACAGTGTGAGCAGGGGAGGGTCAGAGAGAGAAGGAGACACAGAATCCTAAACAGGCTCCAGGCTCTGAGCTGTCAGCACAGAGCCCAATGCGGGGCCCGAACCCACGAACCGTGAGAGCATGACCTGAACTGAAGTCGGACGCTTAACCGACTGAGCCACCCAGGCGCCCCCAAACTTGAGTTTTCTAATCGGAAACAGCCCCAGATGTGGGCCCCTGGTGTCTGGCTCTATGAGGAATTTACTTTCAACCTGACCACACAGAATTCCGACAGCTAGAGTTCCGAAGAATGAGTTCATAATTAAAAGTCGCAAAACCCATTGAGGGAAGTCAGCAGAAACAACTGATAATAGAACTAGGCTCACAAAAACTTCAGATTTCAGTATTAGACAAACACAGAATTAGTACATGCTTTCAGGTACAGTGTTCTCTCAATCCCACCTTTCCTAAGACAGCCACTTGACTCAGTGTGCTGTGTTGTCACAATTTTTTGTTTAGTGTTCATTCACGCCCCACAGGGGACCCCACTTAGAGAAATGCTATGCCAAACTTACTCATATAAGCACAATGAAAGTACATTTTAATGGAAATAGGGTCCTCGTACAAATAACTTTCTATAGTCTCTTTTTTCTAATGTTATGTTGTGGATCAAACTATGTCAATATATGTGAATGTAATCTGTTTCACTGGCTGTGTAATATAACCACAGTTTACTCTCCCAGTTCTCTGTGGGTAGCGATTTATAGTTTTTGTTACTAAAAACTGGCCTGGATCTGACACTTAAACATCTGTGAGCCTGAGCCCTCGTCTGATAGCAGCATCCTACAAGTAGAAGGTCCAAGTCGAGAGGTGTGTGCTTAGCTTAAATTGTTCCTAGAACTTTTCTCTCAAGAAAGGCTGAGCCACTTTCCAGAGCCATCAGTCACTCACTGAGCACCTGCTCTGTGCCGGCTCTACTGAGAAAACCAAGACTATTACTGCTCTTTCCCAGGAAGGGTTTGTGTTCTGCAAGGAGGGGAAGGCAGGTGCCCCCAAACTACTAAAGTTCAAAGCGTACTTGGGTTTAGGGAAGGCCTCAGACATTTCTGAGCCTGAGCTCTCCCAGATGAGGAGAGAACAAGACAGCTTCCAACCAGTCACTCGTCAAGTACAAGGAAACAGGTGCCATGAGGCAGTGTAGCTGTTCTTTGGACCCCCACCCATCCCCTGCCCCAGGACTCTGCAGCAAGGCCTCCAAAGCCAGCTCTCCCAAGCCCTGGAACTTACAATGGTGGAGTCGGAATCCAACAACCTCTTCTCACGTCAGGCCCTTCATGGTTGATAATTCAAGGCACCTTGTGGGAATCCTGGGTTCTCCAGGGCCAACTGTGGAGGCTGACAGACACGCCAGGTGCTATGAGCAGGGGTCCAGTGAGTCCTTCCCTCTGGTGATCTCTCCAGTCTAAGGGCCAGCCGGCAGCTCCACAAGCCACTCATCCAAAGTCGCACATACGTATCAGACAGCCTTGAAAATGTAGGCACCGTGGGGTGAGGGGGATAGAGCAGGCAAGAGATCTGGGCATTCCAGGGTGAGGAAGCCGGGGGCTGGCAAGGCTCTGGGTGCGTTAGTGCAGGGTGGGTGCCCCTGCCTGTCTACTGACCCTTGTCTTATGCTTGAGGCTGCCTGTTCACTACTTTTTAATTTTTCTTTTTGAGGAGTGGAAACAATGAATGAAGAGAAGCTAAGGCAGGGCCTGGAAAATCAGAGCTGGGACAGGTCACAATCAGTGCTAGATTTTTCATGTGATTCTCTGGGTCTGTTCACCCAAGTCTAACCATTGTCCCATCTCTCTGATCCTGTAACTGAAACTTGCCCCAGGGATAGCTTAGGCAAGTGTGCAAAGGGCAGGAGGGAAAATTCTGGGTGCAGCCCACCCTCCAGGTCCATGGCAGTGACTCCCCCCGAGTTGGGGAAGGAGCCTTGTGGCTTCTCTCACCTTGTTGCCTCCCGTCTTCAGACAGTGCCTCAGAAAGGTAAGTGACCGGACAGCCTTCCAGAGGGGCTTGGTCCCCAGACAGGTGGGGGAGCTCGAGTCCCATGGGCTTCTCCTCATCCAGCCCATGGACAGACCTTTCATGGACAGGCCCCATGTTTGACTGGGCCCAGCCTGCAGAAACCCCCGCTGTGTGCTCACAGGGCCACCCTCTGGCTGTGCAGCCTCCCTTCCATCTGCTGAGTTGCTGGAATTTCTGCAGTTTCTGTGATACCTTTGGAGCTGCTTCTTTATGTCTGAATGAAAGTCTGGATGACTGAGAATTTCAAAGTCCCCATTCCAAACCTGGTATTTGGCAGGTGCTATGTTACCTGAAAATTGCATTTGAAAACAGTGTTTTGTTTTGTTTTGTCTCCTCCCTCCCTTCCTGCTGTTCCCAGTGTGGTGAGAAAGGACACTACGCCAACAGATGCACCAAAGGCCACTTGGCCTTTCTCAGTGGACAGTGACCGCAGCTGGAGCCAGCTCAGAGCAGCCTGAGGGGCCCCACTCTTGGGGACCACCCCAGGCCACCCTTGGGAGCGTGCATTTAACTGTTTACTGCCAGTGTTGGTGCAACTCTGGCTGGGGCAGGCAGGCAGGCACGTCGGGGTTCATCATTCTGAGGGGCTACGTCTGTTGGTTTCCCTATTGTTTTGCTGTAAACTTTTTAAAAAGGGGACAGGTGCTCCAGTTTGGTCAAGTCGGCATCATGTATGTCTAGGCATCAACACCTGTCTGGAATTCCCTGCACACCACCCTCTAGGGAGGGGAGGAGGTGGTGAGGAAGGGCTCCTGCTAAGCAGTCTATAGGGAAGGCGGCCCTTCCCCTCGAGGCCTCATTAAACACCAGTTCCTGGTGACTCCAGGGGCTGGTGGATCATTTAAAGCTGGCCGTGCCTGCTTCCTCCACATCCTGCTGAATTCAGAAGCTGTGCCTGTCCACATGACTTGGATGAGGCAGCAGGGCAAACCTAAGTGTGCTCCTTGTCTCCACGACTGGGTCCTGCTCCAAGGTGGCAGTGGTTGAGAGGAAAGGCACAGGGCTTTCCAGTGTGAGGGTCTTTTCCTTCTGGGCTCATTTCCTTGGAGCGCCTACTTATCAGTGATATGGCTGAAGGTATGCCTTAAGCTGGAGCTGCAGACCACCCAGTAAATCAATGATGCAGTCCATCTGTGCACCTACCTCCTGCCCCTGAACCTGGAAATGTGAGACTGTCACCTGCAGCCTGCTGGGCAAGTGGGCCTGTCCAAGTTCAATTACAAGAACAATTTTTATGAGGTCGATTAAAGCTCGTTTTTTAAGCTGCGTCTGGTTACTTCAGGGACCCATGCCAAGGAGAGGACTCCTGCTCCTGGCTGCACTAGATGCCTGACATGAAGCTTCAATACCAGAGCTTGCATGTCCTCTTTTAAGAAATGTGAAACCCCTGGAGGGAAGGAAGGGCCTCTACTGGCAGCTGGTGAAGTCTGGAAGCTTGGCCTCTGGAACAGCTACATAGCAGCTCTCCTCCATTTCAGATGCTGGATGATACTTGCTTATTCAAATTTGGATCTTCTAGGAGATAATTAGCTTCAGCATCTCACCCCTTAGACCCCATGCCGTATATATGCTTACCACACACTTCTCAGGAGACCAATTCTGGCCCTCATATCACTTTACTGAAGACCTTTTTATTCTTTTTTATGTTTATTATTTTTAGGGGGGTAGGGGGGAGACAGAAAATCTGAAACAAGGCTCTCTGCTGTCAGAGAGCCCAATGTGGGCCTCAAACTCACAAACTATGAGGTGGTAACATGAGCGGAAGTTGGATGCTTAACTGACTGAGCCACCCAGGAACCCCTACTGAAGATCTCTGAAGGGTAAGGATAAAGGTGCTGGAAATTGGTAGCTATGAGCTCCCATCAGGGCCTGTTTTCCATTGGTCCCGAGTCATCCACTGAACTTCCTAAAGGTGGAGCTTCCTTACTAGTAGGGCCCACACTACTGAGTCCTGAGAAATACAGAAAGGTTGGGGAGGGGAAGGCATTCTTAAGAACTCCGGGCACCAGTTCCCCAGTTCCGTCAATGTAAAAGCATCAGCTGACAAAAGACCAGAAGTGTTTTCAATACTCCAGGCAGAGCAGGGAAACACCTCTGGGCACTTGCAGGCTTAACTAGATGACACCCTTACCTATGTGAGCTGGGACAAGACCCCAAAGGACTGGTGGGAAGTCCCCCATGGATTTAAAGCGTTAGGCATTCCACAAGAACCCCGCCTCGTGCAGCAGGAACTCTTCCCTGCCCTCAAGGGCAGGGAAATGGCTCAACCAGGGAAGCAGTCTGAGTATCAGTCATCTTTTATTGGAGGTTAATTCTGAATTAGGGTATGAAAGGTTTCAAAGGTCACGGTCAGGAATGCCGAATGTGCCTCCACACGGCCCTCTTCAGTGGTACTTGCGTAGCCGTTCATGTTCTGAAGTTAGAAAGGCAAGGTTGTAAGTTTCTTGTAGAGTATAGTGAAAGCATAAGATGATGGGAGGGTGGCAGGCTAAATTCATGTAAAACCATCCTGAGAACTCCTTCTGGGAGTCTCTGGCAGAATCCGGAGACCTGGAGGTACAAAGGCATCTTGGGAGCTAATCTGCCACCTGGCCAGCCTCTTCCTTCCCAAAAGGAAAACACACTCAAAGTCCCCAAGAGGCTGGTCTTCAGAGCCAGCATCACCTGGATTTCATAGACTGGCAGGGGACCGGACACTGACAGAAACTCCCCATGAAACCCAGTCAGCAGCTGCCATTGGATTTGTTGTGGCATCTCCCACCACCAGAGAGCCTCTTGGGTTTTAGAACCAGGAAAAGCCACCCTTTTCCAGAGCACTGAACAGACCCTGGATTGTACTGCTCAACCTATTTCTCTCCAAACTGGCTGCTAGGAAGATGAAGCCCAAATTTCCCACCAACCTCACATGGAGCCCTGCAGTACCTTATAGAACACTTCCTCTAAGTGTTACTTTTATCCCAGCTTCATGTTACTTTTTCCTGTATTTTCTCTTTGCCACAATTTTGTCACTTAATATAACATTCTATATTCTGACAAATCCTTCCAATTTTTCAGCTGTCAGCAGAATGATGGACTTGTAAACCTGACCACGAACCAATACCACCCTGATAGGAGAAACCCCACTGAAGGGATGGCAATCCGAGAGACACTCACTGAGTTCCTTGTAACACCGACAGTAGTTGAAAAGCACATAAGCTGCCAGCACCATAGAAATCCCAGCGACGCTCCCTTTCTTCACATTGACATACTTGTTGTAATACCGGTAATAACCTGCAAACAGGAGAGGAGGGCACTTTGTGCTTTGCTGTGAATGAGGCACACATTGCAAAGAGGAGTCTGGCTTAAGTTCAGGGATCCAGTCCTGCTGTGGCTCTTGAAGTCACTCACCCCCTAAGTTCACCGGCTGATAAAGGGAGGGACACACTGCCCCATGGGTTTTGCCCCAGGAGCCCAGGACAAGCCCCAGCTAGGCCCACCTTGATTCTGCCCCTATGCTTTGGCCTTTACCTTAACAGACTTGGCTCAGCCTGTTAGCCTCTGATCCTGCCTCACCCTCACCTCTGGCCCTATGCGATCTCCTTACCCTAATTCTGACCAAAATCCCAACCCCAAGGGGCGCCTGGGTGGCTTAGTCGGTTAATCATCTGACTTTCGCTTGGGTCATGATCTCACGGTTCGTGGTTTCGAGCCCCGCGTCGGGCTCTGTGCTGACAGCCAGCTCAGAGCCTGGAGCCTGTTTCAGTCTGTGACTCCCTCTCTCTCTGACCCTCCCCTGCTCACGCTGTCTCTCTCTCTCTCTCTCTCCTAGAAATAAATAAAACATTTGAAAAAAAAAAATCCGAACCCCAAGTAAGGGCCAATTAGCTGTGGTCAGCTGGGTCAGCCTATCAGGGAAGAGGAAGGTTTTGTGCGATCATCTCTTTCTGGGTACCCCCACCAGTGAGGAAAGTTTCTGCCCTCTGGGCTCATGGATTAGTTGACAAAAAAGAATGAAGTGATCCTAGAAGGCCCTACTTTACAACAGTGAAGGAAGGTGTGAAGGAGCAGTACAAGGAGCTGTGGGCATGAACAGGCCACATTCACTCATGCTGAGGAGTCAGGGACTGTTGTAAACTAAGTATGGGGAAAAGGCAGAGTATTCTGAGTTCAGGAAAGGCCTCACGGCAGAAGGAAACATGGCACACAAGAGCCAGCAACAGGATGCCCAGAACTGGAAAGAAAAATAGAAGAAAGGTACCCCCACTCCACCACACACACACCCAGGAAGCTGGAGACCACACAGGTCCCCATGGGGTGATGTGGGTCTCTAATTCCTGGAATAAGGACACTAGTTCCACAGGACTGATCTGATCGTGCACAGCCCAGAAGCAGAGATCATTTCAAACATTCATCCTGGACGTGCTGCCTGACAGGCAGGTGAGCATTACAATACAGACTGATGGCCACCATACTTGAAACTCAATTTCCTCTTTAAGGAAAATCTTATGATTTAAAAATGCTCATACATATTTAAAACGAAGGCAGTGGTACAAATTCCAAGCAACAGAAAACATTTTCTTGACTGATACCTCTTATAGCCAGCCTCTGATAGGACCAGTCATGGAGATTCAGGGGCTACCCATTCATCCCTGTCTTCCTCTACATAACTTATCAGTCTGAGCTCAGGGCAAAAAGAGACATGGGCATCTGGTTTTGTTTACACATGTCCATAGGCTCTGACCTCTTTGAAATGCACCAGCAATGCCTTTAGGGGTGAAATCCCGCATTAGTATCCAGCCTGGCAGCTCTCCTAGCTTCACATCCATGAGCTTCTTCTCCTTCATTGGTACTAAAAAGGAAGAGCAGAAAAACACTCTGAAGAACCTCTAGTAAGACAAACAATATCCTTTTATGTCACTTACTTCAACTATTCAATAAAATCACTACATAGAGGTTGCATATAAGTACTATTATGAATAAATATACCAAATTCATAAGTCAGAGTCTATATAAAGGGATAGCTTTATTAATGAACAAGATTTTGAAGAACAGCTTACCGGGAGTAACTAGGTAAAAACAGAACCTAAGGGTCATGAGGAAGAAAGTAATCAGGGGCGCCTGGGTGGCTCAGTCGGTTAAGCATCCAACTTTGGCTCAGGTCATGATCTCGCAGTTTTTGAGTTCCAGCCCCATATCGGGTTCTGTGCTGACAGCTCAGAGCCCGGAGCCTGCTTCAGATTCTGTGTCTGTGTCTCCCTCTCTCTGCCCCTCCCCTGTTCATGCTCTCTTTCTCTCAAAGAATGAATAAACATTAAGAAAAAAAAGTTTTTAAAGAAGGGAATGGTCTCCCTTTCCATCCTCCCCACAGAGATCAACTTTAAAAAGCTGCTGAGCAGATATCTTCTTCAGGGTAAGGAGTCAAAGACTACTGTCCTTTCTTAAAGATGACCAACCAGAGAAGGAGCCAGACTAAATTCACTCAAAGGTTTTTTCTCCACTTTGGGGATCAAAGGAAAGACTGAAGTTACTTCAGGAGTCCACAGAGGGGAATCCCACAGATCTCAATATCTCCCAACATTTAACACGGGCAAGGATTGTTGAGCCATCAACAGAAATATAAGTCTTAATGGCAGCTTCTAATTTGCTATAGGTTATCTGGAGAAGCAAGCATTTGGCCTAGATGGACCAGACTGAGGGTTTGTCAATGGGCCACAAGCGACAAGTAGAGGCATAAGACCATGACTTGCATACATAGCTTTAGGGTCATGGTTTAGACTGCCTGTCCCAAACAAACTGGCCCCAACCTTCCATCTAGACTCATCTAAAAAATATGGAGCACCTACTGTATGTCAGGCAGCATTCTATGCACTGTGGGTACAGCACCGACTCCAGACGCGGGCCTTGCTCTCCGGAGCCAACATTCTATCGCCAGACAACCATTTTATCCACTCACCGTACTTGAGCCAGACTCCTTTTTGCTTCTTCACCTGAGGGCTTTTGTATGTGCAGTGCTCCTGGGCCATCACATGGCTACCTCAACTTAAATGCTATGTCCTAAAAGGCCTCTTTCCCTGTCCCCTTATCTCAATCACTAGTATTACCTTCCCATATAACCTCTGAGCTCCAGTTCCCTTGTCTATTAAATGGCTATTCCAAGCACTGAATGAGAATCTATATAAAAGCATTTGGGCTGCCTGGGTGGCTCAGTCAATTAAGCACCTGACTTCAGCTCAGGTTATGATCTCACAGTTTGTAAATTCGAGTCCCGCATTGGGTGAGCTAGTGCCCCACTTCGGGTGAGCCCCGCTTCTCTCTCCCTCTCTCTTTCGCACCCTCTCTCTCTCAAAAGAAAAAAGAAGTACTTCCAACAGTACTCAGAACTGTAAACTGTTAATATTATTATTGTTGAAATGTCATTAAGATCTGAACTAAGGTGAAACAAAAAAAAGACAGGTAGAGAAAGAAATGGCATACAAACCAATCTTTAGTACATTTTTGGGTTTGCTTGTTTTAATGCTTATTTTTGAGAAAGAGAGAGAGTGAGGGGGTGGGGCAGAGAGAGGACAGAGGATCCAAACCAGGCTCTGTGCTGACACCAAAGAGCCTGATGTGGGGCTCAAACCATGAACTGTGAGATCATGACCTGAGCTGAAGTCAGACGCTTAACGGACTGAGCAACTCAGGCACTCCAAACTTTAGTACATTTTAAACATAAAGGACTTCAGGGATTAAATATACCCTTTAGTTCTATACAGAGAACTAATTAGTTTGGCAGTATTTTTGAAATATGAGATAGTCTCCAATGAACCAAATCTCTTCTGGAGAGTTTAGTGTCAATGATATTAATCCAACACCAAACAATAATGTCATCCGAGAATGACCTATACCTTTCTCTGTCACCCTATCCATGCTATTCCTAGAAAAGTTTAGTAGTACACATCTTACATGCCAACTGTCTTCACTTGGATCAGGAAGCTTTAGTCCATGGATAACTATACCACATTTCTTCTTAACATACTCCATACCTTTGCTAGTCTCAAAGCATTCTTGCATGCAGTGAGGAGTACAAACATGTCATTCTAAAACCAACTGGCTTTAAATATGACTACATGGTGGGGAGTGCATGACAAAGGTATAGATGGAACTAGAATGGCAGAATATTGCTAACTATGGACACTAGGTAATGAGTATAAAGTGTTCATTACATTGTTTCCTTTGTATTTGAAAGCTTCCATAATAAAGTTTAAGAATGCTTTTAAAGGGTGCCTGGGTGGCTCAGCTGGTTAAGTGTCCAACTCTTGGTTTCAGCTTAGAACATGATCTCATCGTCATGAGATTGAGCCCCGTGTGGGGTGCCACACTGAACATGGAGCCGGCTTGGGTTCTCTCCCTCCTTCTCCCCTCTACTCCTCCCCTGCCTGTGCTTGCTCTCTCTCTCTCTCAAATAAATAAATAAATATTGTTTAAAAATAAAATTATAAAAAATACATAAAAATAAAAACGCTTTTTAATAATAGGGCTATGTTGGGGGAGATATGCAAAAGAAAAATTTTTTCATTAAAGTTTTTTGTTAGGGCACCTGGGTGGCTCAGTCGGTTGTGTCCCACTTTGGCTCAGGTCATGATCTCTCGGTTCTTGAGTTCAAGCCCTGCGTCAGGCTCTGTGCTGACAGCTCAGAGCCTGGAGCCTGCTTCAGATTGTGTGTCTACCTCCCTCTCTCTGCCCCTTCCCCGCTTGTGCTCACTCAAGCACGCGCGTGCTGTCTCTCTCAAAAATAAACATTAAAAACTTAAAAAAAAGTTTTTTGTTTCTTGGTTGTTTTCTGAAAGAGAGCAAGTGCATGCTGGGGAGGGGCAGAGAGTGAGGAGGAGAGAGAATTCCAAGTGTCAGTACAAAGCCTGATGAAGCACTCAATCTCAGGAAGCCAAAACCAAGGGTCAGATATTTATCGCACAGAGCCACCCAGGCACCCCAAGAAACACATATTTTAAGTCAAAGTATTTTTTACTAGTATCAGGCTGATTTTTTTAAAAACTCAGGTCACTTCTGGGCCATGTAAGCTATTTTTTTTTTTTTAACATCCACACAATCTATAAAAACATATTCACATCGTGACCACATTCAGGGGTTGGCATCGTGCCGTGGCACAGCACAGGAGAAATTTCTATATATTTAGACACATAGAGTGTTTCCTTAAGAAACTAAGAAATTTATAAGCACAGGTGGGAAAATCACATTAGGCTTAAGGAAAGCCAAATACAGCACCGTTGACAAAACTCTAGGAGATGAACAGATTCATCAGAGATGCATCTACACTTTTTCCAAGAATTTCTCTTAACGGAAGACAAAGACCTCCGTCTTTAAGCAGCCATATTGGAACCCTCCCCCAACACTCTTCTGCAGTACCACACATCCCTCTGCACTCTACCAGCGGTGCAGTGTGGAACAGAGTAGACACAGGAGTCGTGTTCTGGGTTTAGTGCCACTTCACTCCTGTGTGCCCTTGGACCAATATCCACCTTCTGTGCCTCAGTTTCCTCCTTTGTAAAATAAGGTTAAGAATAGCATTCACCTTGGTACTTGGCTCTACGTACTTTTTATTTTTTTATTTTTTTTTTTAAATTTTTTTTAATGTTTTATTTATTTCTAGGAGAGAGAGAGACAGCGTGAGCAGGGGAGGGTCAGAGAGAGAGAGAGGGAGTCACAGACCGAAACAGGCTCCAGGCTCCGAGCTGGCAGTCAGCACAGAGCCCGACGCGGGGCTCGAACCCACAAACCGCGAGATCATGACCTAAGCGAAAGTCAGACGCCTAACCGACTAAGCCACCCAGGCGCCCCTCTACGTACTTTTTAAATGTTCTTTTTAAATGTTCATTTATTTTTGAGAGAGAGAATGAAAGCAAGGGAGGGGCAGAGAGAATCCCAAGCAGGGATCTCTGCAGCACAGAGCCTGATGCAAGGCTCCAACTATGAGATCAACCTGAGCTGAAATCAAGGGTCGGATGCTTAACAGACTGAGCCACCCAGGTGCCCCTAGGTACTAAGTAAATGGAAATTATCTTTCTTCCTGTGGGCTATGTCACAGTTCATGGTGATGTCATACTTATAGTGAAGGCTGACAAAGGGGTACATGTTCTTGTATCAGGGTAGGTGGCTACCTGGCCTGATTTTATGAGTTCAAAGAAGCATACTGACCACCTATATGAAGAGGGATGAAAATGGTAAGTGTCTTCTGAGTGCTAAATCCAGCCCAGAGGTTGGCCAGAGAGTAAAGATTTCAAGCCACACAAAGCCTCTGTAATACAGTCTTTTTTATTTTTTAATTTTTAAAAACCATTCTTGGGGTGCCTCGGTGACTCAGTCGGTTAAGTGTCCAACTCTTGATTTCGGCTCTGGTCATGATCTCACGGTTCATGACTTCAAGACCCACATCGGGCTCTGCACTGCCTGAGATTCTCTCTCTCCCTCTCTCTCTCTCCCCTTCTCTGCTCACTCTGGCTCGCTGTCATTCGCTCTCAAAAAATTAAATAAATAAACTAAAAAACACACACAAAAAGATCGTTCATAGCCCACAGACCAAACAAAACAGACCATAGGAAATCTAGCCCATTGCTGACCCAATCTCATTTATTGCTGTTAATTCACATTTCCATCACTTTATTTGCTAATAAACTAGTGGCTTTATGCTCCCGTGACAGACACCATCTAAAAGATTATCAGAACTTGGACTTCAATTCCTTCACCTATCGTGATGTTGGATGGACCAGAAGTGACATGACGCTGCTCAGTGGTCACAGAGTGAAAGCTGGATGACTAACGCTCCGCAGTGGGCCAGGCAGTGTTTCAGGGACCTTACATGTACTAAGTCGTTTAGTCCTTATTCCACAGTGCTCATCACTCCACTCTACATAAATAAGATGCCAAGTCTCAATGCTTCCTTTTCACATGTCATCTTGTTTAAACAACAGAACCACTGTTAATAAATATTCTCACGCCCATTTTTACAGATGGGAAAAACAGCATCATTCTCATTTTTTCTGCTCCCCTCTTCATATCTCCATGCTGATACTTAAGAATACAGAAACTGGGTAGGTTCATCAAAACTCTGTCTCAGGGAGGCCACACCACATCTCTGACCATTATTTTCATCTTTAAAATTGGGACACCTGGGTGACTCAGTCAGCTGAGCAGGGGGCTCTTGATTTCGCCTTGAATCATGACCTCACTGTTTGTGGACGAAGCTGCAGACTGACTCTACACTGTGAGCATGGATCCTGCTTGGGATTCTCTCCCTTTCTTTCTTCTCCTCCGCTCGCGTGTGCTCTAAATAAACTTGTATCTTTAATAAAATGGGATTAATGTTCCAGACAGAGACTTACTGACAAGGCTACTAAGAGGCTCTAGGGCTAAAACATGGTTTCCATACAAAAACAAAATCAGTGCATATAGTACAATGAGTGTAGACTTATACACACGTCACTGAAAAGCTTGCAGATCATAAGGCCATCCTTGCGATTAAAGCTGTTTACCACGAGGCCCCAGACACCTAATTTGCACCCAGGCTCAGCCCTTTCACCTGTTGTGACCTTGAACAAGTCACTTCACCTCTCTAAACCTATTCAACACATATCCAACATATATGCATGAGTCCAACCTTAAATGGTGCACACACTATCCTAGGTGTTAGCTCCTCCGGGGGCTTAATTTGAGCTTCAGCTTTGGGAAGAAGGGCAGAAGATGCGCGTAGGATTCAAATGCAAAGCGCCTGTGTGATGGCGGGGACGACTATAGCGATACTTCAATAAGGGGAGAGATGGCAGCCGGAAATAGTGCATTCCCAAGTTTGCAACCGCGTCGCCCGGTTGCCCTCAACCTCCCCGCTGTAGCCAAGAGACATGGGCCCTTAAGGAGGCGGGCGGCGCGGCTGAGAGAGCAGAGAAGGGCCGAATGGTGCAAGACCCTGAGCAAACGGTTCGGTGCGCCTCCGGTAAGGCCGCAGAGAAGGCCCTGAGTGAAGGGGAAGGGGCTCTGCAGCCCCCTCCCCTCCCAGTGCGGTTCTGAGCCCCGAGCCCCGGACCACGTATCCTGCCCTCAAACTTGTAACCTTAATACACAGGTACTCACCGGGTGACGCCATCTTGGAGTCCTGGGTGTCCGCTGTACCGGGCCGCGCGAGGACTGCTGGGTAGGGAGCACGCGCCCTTGCGAGAGCGAGGAGCAGAGGTTCATGGGAAGCAGGTCTCGGCCCGTGCGAGGCTGAAGCTGCAAGTGCGCCATAGAGGGAAGGGCAAAGTCCCTGGAGTGCAAAGCCCGCGTGTTCGGTAGTATAAAAGCAGGGGATGGGGTAGGGAGGTAGGTGGGTACGAGACGGGGTGGTGGCGGTAGGGCTCAGCCTGGGCTTCCCATCATAGGAAGGAGGAGGCTGGAAGGGACCCAGAGATAGGAAGTGAGGAGAAAAGAGCATCCTGGCTTTCTTACTTTGTCGCCTTAAAATTGTTGTGGAAGTTTACAGGGGCATATGAAGACTTTTCCTCCCAACTGTGTTGGATGGGAGATAAGCTAGGACTCTCACAGAATTCCTAGTTACCAGAAAAGCTGGTGTCCAGGCTTGGGCTTCATATAGATTTTAATGCAAGAATAGCTTTATGTGTCCCACCTCTGGGGTGGGCTCCGAAGACAGAAAAAAGCAAGACCTAGGGGTACACAACTCCAGCCCTTCTTTCTGCCACATCTTTTCTACGCCCAATGATGCCTCACCCCACCATCTTGGTTTTTTCTGGAAAGGCCATGATAACCATTACTGGCTAAGCAATTCTGACTTGGGCAAGATGCTTCAATTCCCTGAATCTCTCTGCCTTCTCTAAATTTGAGATGTAATTGCAGTAGCACTGGCAGGGGAGCCGCCTGCCTTTGTACACATGGGATAGCATAATTTTCTTCCCTACCCAACAAAGAGCCCAAGTATGAAAAACAGAAGGATTTGTGGAAATACATACATACATAATAGGATTTGTGGTTACATGAAAACCATGAGAAACAAAACCTAGAGTCACCAGGCACAAGTTTCCCAAAGACCCATGATTTCTTAGCCTTAGCCATTCATTTTCAGAAGAAAACAGGGACAAGGAAGGGGTTAACCCCAGGATCCTGCTGTCCCTGGAGTATCATGTAAACCCCCTGGACTACAGGCTCAGTGCCAGGATCTGCACCTTGGGCAAGAGCGCTGTAACTTACATCAAGAAAATGGACTCCTCAGGGTACCTGGGCTCAGTTAGTTAAGCATCTGACTCTTGATTTTGGCTCAGGTCATGATCTCATGGTTGGTGAGTTTGAGTCCTACATCAGGCTCTGCACTGTCCCCCATGTACTCTCTCAAAAATAAATAAACTTTTGGAGCGCCTGGGTGGCTTAGTCGGTTAAGCGTCCGACTTTCGCTTAGGTCATGATCTCGCGGTTCATGGGTTCGGGCCCCGCGTCGGGCTCTGTGCTGACTGCCAGCTCAGAGCCTGGAGCCTACTTCAGAGTCTGTGTCTCCCTCTCTCTGACCCTCCCCTGCTCACGCTGTCTCTCTCTCTCTCTCTCTGTCTCTCTCTCTCTCCTAGAAATAAATAAAAAACATTAAATAAATAAATAAATAAACTTTAAAAAAGGAAGAAAGGAAAATAAAACAGACTCCTCACTGGGACAGAGATTCATTTTCTTGATACTTGTCTCTTGACAGTTTAATTCATTTGGAAAGCTTTTCTTTCCTTCCTCCTCTTAGAACAAAAACAAAAACAGCAACAGAAAAGAAAGAAAAGAATGCTTTCTGAGAAGGCTTTGAATGGCATGTTCTTGTGTTGCCAGGAGATTTCTTCTCAAGTCCTGACAGGTTCAACAAGTTGTAACCAGCAGTGTGTGGGGGTGTGGGAGTAGGAGTCATCATACCCATTAAGATTTGTTCTAAAGGGATTTGCATTCTTGGAGGTGACATTGGGATTTGGTTTCCAGAGGGGATAGGGCAACTGTTAGACAAAAAGCTGTAGCCATTCCAGCTTTGGTGACCTTGAGAGACGTTTCTTTTCACCACAGAAATACCAGGGAGAACCACCCCATAACAAGAGGTCTCTTACAAATTAACAAAAGCTCTTGTGATCTTTGTCTCATCCAACAGGGTGCTGACATGGGTAGGGTTCATTACCTTCACTTATCAAGCAAGATTCCTCATGATTCTTTTCTTATTAGCAAGTACATTGTAGTAGCATCAATCAATGGTCAGCTTATTTTCTGCTTCTTCCACTATAAAATTGAGCTCCTTAAATTAAAGCTCTGTTTCTGAACTCAAAGTGTGGCTGTCTCATTCAAGACGTTCAATAGGTGTTAAATTATTGTGAGATCAGAGAGGCAAATGAGCAAAACAATAAATGAAAGAACCATAGAGATAGAAAGCAATTGATGAAATCACCATGCTCAGTACATTAGAAATGCAAGGAGCATGTCAACATGGTATCTCAGTGCACCAAAGGGGAATAAAGCCCCAAGTGCATTTCTAGTATAAGAAGAAAAGGGGCTTTAAAAAAATCACAGGATGAGAGAGAAGCAAAGTTCTAATGGCAAGGAGGCATGAGGAGGTAGTGCAGAGAGGACACACTTGGTGCAGAGGTGGGCATCAGTGGTGAGGTGTGAGGAGTTGAAGACTGAACAGAGAAATACTGGAGGATCTGCTATATATACAAGCAAAGAGAAATAGGACAGAAGGATGGCGACAGAAGAGAGAGTAGGTTAAAAGAACACAGAAAACAATAAATGAGAAGTTAATGTTAAAAGGCACAAAGGTTAAGGCACCTGGATGGCTCAGTCATTAAGCATCTGACTTTGGCTCAGGTCACGATCTCACAGTTAGTGAGTTCGAGCCACACCTGGGGTGAGCTTGAGTCCCATTTTGGGTAAAAAACATGAGCCCCTGTGGGTGAGCCCCGATTCTCTCTCTGCTCCTAATGGGATTCTCTCTGCCCTGGCACCCCCCCTAAAATAAATAAAATAATAAGATAAAGGCACAAAGATTATAAGTGAAATTTATACCATAAATCATGAAGACAAAATGAAAGATGAAGGAACATAAAAATAAATGAAATTGTAAAAGGTGGTTGAAAAAATGAAAAATCAACAAAATCAACAAAAATTTTTGTTTTGAGAATCAACAAAAATATAGCACATTATGAAGAAAATTCAAGAGACACTGCTGAAGACAAGGAATGATGTTGAAAACACAGACCTGAAAAGCAAGAAAAAATGGTACAAAATGTCAAATTAAATGATGAAGTATCAATGAAAGGGAAATGGGGAAGGAAGGTGTGAATGTGTGTTAAAATGGAAAAATAACACAGCTGTAGAAACTTTGCAATATAATAAACAGGTAATGTCTTAGTTTGAAGTGATTCTAAGAGACTGGGCTGCTTAAACAACAGAAATTTATTTTTCATAGTTCTGGAGATTGGAAGTTCAAGATCAGGGTGCCTGCAGATTTGTCTCTTGGTAAGGGCTCTCTTCCTGGTTTGCAGATGGCTGCCTTCTCATTGTATCCTCATGTGGCAGAGAGCCTCTTTCTTGTGTCTCTTATAAGGGTGCTAATCCCGTCCAGAAGGCTACACTCTCATGACTCAATTACCTCCCAAAGACCCCTCCTCCTAAATACCATCACATTGAGGATTAGGGTTTCAACATATGAATTTTTAGAAGACACAAACATTGTAATCCATAACAGGGACCTAAAGATGTGATGTAAATAGAATTAAATGGTAACTTTCCAGAAGAATCTGGCCCTACAACTCTTAGCACATGGGCAAAGGGGACTTACCTGAGCTGAGTTTGCTGGCCCCAGCATGCTGGGGATTGGAATTGACAAGACTGTGTCTGGGGCAGGGATGTGTGTGGTGGTTATGGGTGTGGGGGGGTAGATGACTGTATTTAAGATTACAGTGACCTAGTGAAGTGATCTCATTTCGTACTGGAATGTTATTGTCACATCACCCACAAGAGTCCTGATTCTTCCCCGGATGGGAATTTCTGAAAAGAGTTTCAAAAATATTGAAGAGTATGCTTTCTCTGAAACTAGTGCTGAGAAACCTGTTGGGACATTTTCCAGATCTGATATTTGTGTTAACAGAACTCCACAGGTGAGTCAGAGTTGGGGTTGAGTGATATAAACTTTGTCTACTAGGAAAGCAATAATTATGTAAAAATTAAGATTGTTAAGATGTTGGCAAAGTATCTTTGATGGAATACAATACAATATTTAAAGTTGTGATTGAAAGGATTGGGCAAAATGGAAGATCTAATGCAATACGGCAAGGTATACAAATATAGAGGAAAGATATAAAACTGTCATTATTCACAGATGACATGATTGTCTGTGTAGAAAATTGGAAAGAATCAACCAAAAAACTCTTGGAACTAATAAAAGATTAATAGCAAGACTGTAGGTTACAAGGTTAATATACAAAAGTCAACTACTTTCCAATATACCAAGAATGAACAAATGGAACTTGAAATTAAAACCACAATACTATTTACATTAGCACCAAAAACTATAAAATACCTAGGTACAAATCTAGCAAAATATTTGCAAGATCTATGTGAGGAAAACTATAAAACTGATGAACAAATTCACGAGTAAATCACAATAAGTAAATGGAGAGATATTTCATGATCGTGGATAGGAAGACAACATTGTCAAGATGTCGGTTCTTCCCAACTTGATCTATAGGGTCAGTGCACTTCCAATCAAAATCCCAGCAAGTTATTTTGTGGATATTGACAAACTGAACTATCTAAAAGATAACTAGGAAGGAAGTTGGGTAACAAGAGACATGCTCCTTGATATTTACCCAAAGGAGGTGAAAATTTATATCCACACACAAACCTGTACATGAAAGTTTATAGAATCTTTATTCATAATTGCCCAAACTTGAAATCAACCAAGGTGTCCTTAAATAGGTGAATGGATAACTAAGATGCGGTCCATTCAGACAATGGAATATTATTCAGCACTACAAAGAGAATTTTTCAAGCCATAAAAAGACATGGAGGAAACTGAATTGCATATTATAAGGTGAAAGAAGCCAATGGGAAAGGTCTTCATATTGTAAGATTCCAACCATATGACATTCTGGAAAAGGCAACATTAAGGAGACAGTGGTTGCCAGAGGTGGAGGTGGGGAGAGATGAATAGGCAGAGTACAGATAATT